AGCAGGAAGACCCTGGCAGTTGCTTGTCTCTCTCATGGAAGAAATAAATAAATTAAATACGAGCAAACAAACAAACCAAACCCCACAATAGATTGTGTTAATATTGCACTGAGAATATGGACTTTAAATATGGTTACCTTGCCCCTAGTTTACTTATTTCCTCCTGTGGTTCATGCTCTTTAAGAACCGGTAATTTTTCAGGTAGGTAGTTCTTGTATCTTTAACTTTGCCCTAAAAGGATGCTTTGGAATTCATATGAGTTAGAACAGCTTAATTTAAATAACATAAAGAGTATGACTAATCCAAATGGAGCACCCACACTGAATATTTTCAATATCTTTTTTGAAAAATAAATTACCATGTGTGTAGTATCACTATAGCAAAGCAGATTATGGAACATTATTTTAGACTGAGTATATTTGCTTGGCTTTTAAAGATTTGTTGTCTCTAGTGGCTTGGGTTGCAATAGAAGTAAAATTATGCTGTCCTTTTCATTGTGATTATGCATGTCAAATCTAGAAAACGATATTGTTGATAGAAATTACTTTGAGTTCTTTAGGATCTTCTACCTAAACTCATTCCCAACTGGTATAATCCACACTGAATAAAGGGAATTGATTTAGATTGTTGCACATATACAGCAAGAGAGAGCAAAGCTAATTTATCAGTATCTTTGGAGAAGAATACTAAGGTAAGAATGTAAGGGGTGAATAATAATATGAGAAGGTACAGAAGGATAGAGTGGTAAAAGTAAAGTATAAAATTATATTGACAAAAGCGAAGCATAAATAACCTTGAGTTTCTAATGGAAAGCAAATGCCTGAAATTATGGCAGGGAAATGATATTTAAACTTTCCCTTATTATTTCTGATAAGTTTTTATGATATGTTTTATTGTTTTTATTTATTTATTTTTTTGGAGAGGTTTTTGCTATAGGGCGCATGCGCTCGCCAGACAGAGAGAGACATAGAGACAGAAAGCGAGAAATCACCCCCCAGGGGGGATGGTCACGCCGCAATCCCTTCTCCTCCATTCTCCTCTCGGGATCTTGGGCACGCACACACACGCGCCCGGTATCTCTTGAGATTTTAGGCCTGCACGCACACAGTTTTTGCTATAGGGCGCATGCGCTCGCCAGACAGAGAGAGACATAGAGACAGAAAGCGAGAAATCACCCCCCAGGGGGGATGGTCACGCCGCAATCCCTTCTCCTCCATTCTCCTCTCGGGATCTTGGGCACGCACACACACGCGCCCGGTATTGTTTTATTTTTTAATTTACCAGAGGTCACATGCTCTTGCCAAAAGGTGGAGGTGGTAAAAAGCATCCTTCCTCCATGGTGAGTTGCCATGCTACAATCACTTCTCCACTCCCAAAAGGAGTCTCTGGGAGTATACACACATGTACCAGGTGTGTTTCTCAAGCCAAGTCTGGGACTTAAGCAGTGTAGTCAGCCATGTGGGATCCAGCTTTGTTAACCACCACGCAACCATCTGACCCTGTTGTGGTCTTTTATCTTGTGAATCCAAAATCTGAGTCCCTAAGAAACGTAGAGCCTGCAATGAAGGCCTCCTGGATTCTAGTTCAGTGCTTCTTATAGTAAGTAATTACAAAGTAATTCTTTTACCCACAAGACAAAATCATAACTCTAGGTGTTCAGGACATATTTATGGATATATCATCATCTACTTTTGTAGATCTTTATTAAGAGCAGAATGAATTGCTATAATGTGTTCAAAGGCAAGTAAATATTTTTCAAGTATCAGTACCAACAGGAAAAATAATAAAAGCAGCTAGGATAATGTGGTAAGCAGAATAATAACCCTTGCCCCCCCCCAAGATGCATATATTCTAACTTTTGGGACCTGTGATTATGTTGATTATCATATATGACAAATGGCATCTTTCAGATTTGGTTAATGTTAGGGACTTTTAGATGGGGAGATTATTCTGGATTATCTGGGTAGACCCACTCTAATCATATGGGTCTTTAAATGAGAAAGAGGGAGGGAAAAGATTGGTTCCAAGAGATGTGATGTGCAAAGGACACTGTTCTGAGAGATGTGATGGTAAGGAACTGAATTCTGCAGCAAATGGGCAAGAAATTGATGACCTTGAAGGAGAATAGATTCTAGAATGGAATACATTGTGCCAATGACACCTTGATTTTAGTCCATTCAGACTCACAGCAGACTTAAAACTATATAACTGTGAAATAATAATAAATTTTTTGTTGTTTTAAGCCACTACAGTTATGATGATTTCTTATGGCAACAATAGAAACGTAGAGAGATAGGAAACCTCTAAATGTATTATATACCTGGATTTGGACTCATGACAGTTGCTGGTAAAGTAACTATACTGGAGATTTACAGCATGTTTGAATCATTCTAAACAGTTTAAGTACTATGACTCGTTCCCATCTTTCTCTGTGGTGCAAAGTTTTTAAGTTCAAATCTTCTCCCATTTTTTCAATGGTGACTGCTGTATAGGTTTGAATATGTTTCCTCAAAATCCATGTGTTGAAATTTAATTGCTATTGTGATCACATTAAAAGGATAGAAACTATCTGGATGAAATATTAAGTCGTGGGGCCCTCGGACAGCAGTTAGAATTAGGTAAGGTCATCAGGATGGAGCCCCGTGATTGAATACTGGTGACTTTATAAGGAAAGGTTGAAAGACCAAAGCTCACACACACTCTTGCCTTATTTCCATGTTTTGCCCTGTGCCACCTTGGAACTCTGCAGAGTCTCTATCACAAAGAATGCCCCCATCAGATGTTGTAACTTGACCTTGACCTTCTAGAATAATGAGCTGATTAAACCTTTATTCTTTATAAATTACACATATATGGTATTTAGTATAACAACAGAAAAATGGGCTAAAACAGTGACATTGAGTAAAAGATGGGTTTCTTCAACATAAATCACTGTTTACTTCATTTGTGTGTTTTTCTCATTTATTTCATACTGTCATCATCATGTGGTAGATGCTCCAACTGTCAGGAAAAGTGCAAGTAGTACATATTTAGTCTTTACAGAAATCTGAAGTCTTTGTCAAGCGCTATTGTGTTCTCAGCATCTATTACATTTGTGGTTTCTGTTAGTTTTTTTCTCCAGGTTTTGTCTTTTTGCCTAGTCATTTTGTTAGTAATTGACAGAGTCAGTCTTTGAACCTATATTGTCAAGCTCAACTGCAGTACACTGCTGTTGACATTATTGTCCTAGGAAAATGCCCAATCACATGAATGTAAATGAAGGGTGCTTAAAGGCTATTCAAATTGTACCCTAGACTTTTCCCTCAGATTCCTGGTTAGGACAGCTACAAAGACAGAGACAGATTTAACATATTACTGCCTCTTGTGCATTTATTCCATTTCTTTTTCACTACTAGAAATCCATACATTACTAAAGTTTCTGTAATAGGAGTTGGAAAACTATAGCTCTCTAGCCAAATATTTTTGTAAATGAATTTTACTGGCACCTGGCCACAATCATTAACTTGCATATTGTCTATGACTACTTTGGAACAACAGGATCAGTGTTGAGTAACTGGAGTTGAGTCTCACAAGACCTAAAATATTTATCATTTTAGTCTTCACATTAATTTTTCAGACCTATGTTATATCATATCAGGACATGAAGATTTTAAAAGTTTTTAATATCAGTATTACAGTTGAGTATTTCTTATCTGAAATGATTGTTTTCAATTTAGGATTTCTCTGAGTTTGAAATATTTCCATATACATAATGAAATATCTTTGAGATGAGACCCAGGTCTAAAGATGAAATTCATTTATGTTTCATATTTATGTACCTTATACATAGAGCTTAAAGGTAATTTTATACACTATTTTTATATTGCATCGTGTTGACTGTAACCAATCACAAGAGATCAGATTTGGAATTTTCCATTTGTGACATGTCAGTGCTCAAAAAGTTTTAGATTGGACCATTTCAGATTTTGTACTTGCAATCAGGATGCTTAGCCTATACTGATTCATTGTTCTGACCAGCCTCATGTGTTGTCATAATGCCCGTCTTTGACCAGCTTTGAGATACAGTTCCTCCAGTCTTCTGAACTTAATATCCTGTACCAAGAATAACTAAACAAACAAAACAGGAAAGAACCAAATCTTAGGTTAGACTTGAGAAGAATGTCCATACTATTTCCTTCCTCCCTCCATTCTTATTGTTGTCAGAATTTCAATTAGGAACATGCAAAGACTTTTCCAGATCATTGCCACATGTAATAATAACTCATATAATGGGATTTTTCAAGCATGTGGCAAGATAAAAAATTATCTGCATGTTAACATATACACCAGAACTAAATTAAAAATCATAGACATTATAATGCAATGGATTGAAATAAATTTTTAGCAGACATTTTTTATGAAAAAAAGGTAATTCAAATTAAAAAATGATTATTTGTAGGGTACTTTAGTCATTGTTTTTCAGCTGCTCAACATTAGAATTTTACTTTCATTTCTTGAGAATTCCTTACTTTTTGAGTTTTGAGAGTAGAAGAATTCAATATGTTATGCACTCTTTTACTTATTTTATTTTATGGTTTTTGTTTTCGCAGTGAGTGAGGCATAGGCACTGTTTATGACTACTCCAGGTTTTGAGTTGGGAGCTAGTGTTGCAAAGGAGTGGGACTTACAGAGAACCTACTGTGGCGGTTGTGCCAGCTGTAGCAAGAGCGAGTTCATGAAGGCCCGTGCCTTTGATGCTTGTGGTGGCATCCAAGGCACAGCAGTCAATGCCAGCTGTGTTGAAGCAGATGTTTTAGACGCTTCTCCCTTTAAGTTTGGGTGGGCAGACACAGGAATGGAGTTATGTGCAATGAATTTAAATTTCAGTG